TTAAATATTAATATACTTTTATAATTCTTTTTTTTATTAAGTCATAATTGTTAATTATTTGTTTCTAAAATAACTTGTTTCTTTTTTAAGTGTTATTCCTTCAACATTAACAGAAATAACCAATTCTCTCTAAAAAAAAACTTGAACCTAACACTCGAAATATCCCAATGTCCCGCGTATCTTATCTTATTAAACCGATTATAGATACAGTTATTGTATGAAAGTTTATATTACAACGACATTTTTTATTTTATTTATCAGATATAACCTGAAGCTCTTTGAATACATGCATTTTTAGAAAATTTCAAGTTTACCTTCGACTGCTGTGATAAAAAAGACAATTTACATGCAACAAAAAATGCATCTATTTAGTATCAGGATATTGGCATTCCGATCACGCTTACCCGTTCTCGGTAAATCGAAGGAACATAACAATAATAATAATACACCTTTGTAGTTTATTTCTCAAAACGAAACGGATATTGTCAAGGCTTATGAGAATTTTAATTAAATTTATTTAAAAGATATACGTAAACAAGCATTATTAGTCTTATTTCGTTTCTTATGATCCTCAAACTTGTTTAGGTTGAACGAGGAAGATGGTGTTTTTTTTTTTGAGAATTCGATATGAAGAATTTGATATTTTGATGATATTTTTTAACAGTAAATAACCTAATATTCTTTTTTGTTTTACTTGAATGGTCTCGATCTAGAATAGCATGTATTTCTTCTCGTAGGTGCCGTAGTCTGTGATTAAGGGATTCTTAGGGTCTTATTGTCTAGTCGAGGGTCAATGAACAATAGATAAATAAAAAGTTTTTCTATGATTAGAGTTCGGTTAGAGTTAGATTCGTTGGATAATAGGTGACGGCGTTCTCTGACCAACGCACTGAGATCGTTAACAAGACTGCCTTTTTTATAGGATGGAATCTAGCTGGATAGCTGTGCGAACTTTTTGGCTTCGCTAAGACTGGTGAGCAAGCACGGAGACCATGAAAAGAGGTAGGGTTTACTAACAGCTGCCTGAATACAACCGAAAAGGACCTGTCAGTACAAAGGCAGCTGTTTACCGAATTCATCTACCCCCGGATCGTAATCGCGACCCGCTGAGAAGTTTCAGCACAAACACCGCGGACCAATGCAATGAGCTAAGTTTTGGTGATGACGATTTTACAATGCTTATTGGCTATTCTATGGTCAATGAACAATAGATAAATAAAAGTTTATCTATGATTTAAGTTGGGTTACATCCAGTAAAATAGTTTAATCAAAATTGTAAATTATAAAAATAAAGCTGATCAAAACATCTACAATTTTTACAACTTGTTTATTACGATAAAAAAAAAACAAATAAGATTCACCCACCGACTGGTTCATAGAACTTTGTTTACTTTGATGGGTACAGAATATTAATTATCGTGAAGCCCCTACGAAATACGAAATATGATGTAGCTTAACACGATTTACTACTAATGCTCTAGCACATGATCGTTTCACGGCAGAATTAGACAGCATGCTAACTAGATATTCAACCTATATGAAGGAATCACATGTTGTGACCTATATAGTAGTACAGCTATCTATATAATCTCATCCGGTACTATAAAAAAGGAAACCATAGAATGATTGGAAGTTAAATATATATATTAGCTGGGCTACCATGACAACCTTTCTCGAAAACAAAGGGTCATGTCGATCCTATATGCGATGCTCAAACGCATACTATGAATGATCAGACTATGAAAACCGAGCCAAGGTTTTTTGGTGACGCTTAATACGCCCTACAAAGTTACACTGTTCGAGAACACTCCTTCTTTATGAAAGAAAGTTATCACCCTAACCTTTTCTGTGACAGCGTGTGTCCAAAATTTCATGATAATCGCTTGATGGGCTAAAACATGAAGGCGTATAACAAGCAAACTCACTTACATTTACAATCGTATAATATTTAAATATTGAAGGTATACCAGTAACTACATATTACATTCTTGAAATTTATCTGCATGAAAATTACCCACTAAATAACATTATCGTGATAAATATGGTGACAAAACTTATTAGTATTTTTAGATATTTAAATTCGCATGTTGTGCACAGCGTAGTATAAATATATTAATAATATCACCAATTATTTCGTTTTTACCACAATTGTGTCCTTAATCGGTCAACACATCCTAGCTACATTCCATTATATGCACGAAAAAAAAATAACAAAGAAAAAACATTATCTCATCAATTTCGATAATCAAAACTATGACTGATTTAAACATAAGCTATTCAAAAAAATATTAAAAAACTTTGACAATAATTTGAAGTATATTTGTTCAATTATATCATTTATCATTGTCGTGTACCAAACGCAGAGTATGACCTCACATAGTGTCATCTTAACTAATACGCGCAAATAGGAGTAGCTTACAACACAAGGACTTCTTGTCTATTTAAATTTTATTCTTAGAACTTATATGGTATAATATGTTTTTTTTTTTTTTGCTTAGATGGGTGGACGAGCTCACAGCCCACCTGATTTTAAGTGGTTACTGGAGCCCATAGACATCCACAACGTAAATGCGCCACCCACCTTGAGATATAAGTTCTAAGGTCTCAAGTTTAGTTACAACGACTGCCCCACCCTTCAAGCCGAAACGCATTACTGCTTCACGGCAAAAATAGGCAGGGTGGTGGTACCCACCCGCGCGGACTCACAAGAGGTCCTACCATATGTATTTACTTATCAACGTTTTATTATCAAACTATTTATCCTTTATATATGTACTATTGTATTGAATTCAGAATACACTACCTAATATCTAAACAATCTTAAGTTGGTATTATTTAAAAAAACTGGTTAAGTTCGCACACAGTGAAGGGTTCCGTAGTTGGAATGAACGTTCACGCGAAATAGATCAATTACGAATTCAATGACAAAAAGCGTGTAATCGAAAACGTATTATATTTTAGAAACAGCTTCGACATATTTTAGAATCACATATCTCATTTTGAAGTATTCAAAACGCTGTAACTATTAAAATGAAAATCACTAAGTTTCTCGCCGGACCTTTTCAGTGGATCGCGTTTCCGATCCGGTGGTAGATTCTGGGAAGCACTGCTTTTGCTAGGGCCAGTGTTAGCAACACACCCAGTTTGAGCCCCGTGAGGTCACCTACACGTCAAGAAGCTGATATAGCCTCTTAAGGCTTCAGCATTGGAAGAAAAAAAAATCCCTTATCCTTCGTTATGGGTCGACGCAACATATCCTCTTTATCATGCATCATAGGAATTTGGCATGAGTTTTACAACCGGCTGCTTGCTTTACTTTAACCTACCTTCCTTGGATTAATGTTAGCAACGTCGTCAGGTTTGAGCCCCGTAAGCTCACCTATTCTATTATTTTACCTATTCAGACAATCTAGAATAAGCCCTCGAGGTTACTAAAATAGGTAGGAGAGAGAAAAGAAAAACACGGGCTCAACCATCTCGAAATTTGCAAGGTTAGAAAGGTGTTGACCACCGAGAATTGTAAACTTTAAATTGCGGGTTAAAGATGCTTAAAGTACTAAAACGACAAGTATTTTCGTAAGAAATAATATAAATGTATTGTGTAAAAATATAAATGTACATACCCACAAACAATTGGCGCATTTTTCTTTAGAATTTTCTTTTTTTTTTCGTGAAGTGCTATAAGAAAAATTAGAACAGTTTTATTAAAAAAAAACTCATAAATATGGTGAAAAAAATTTTACATACCAAGAAAATGACTATTTTTAGAGTGATGTTTTTTGAAAGATTGTATTAAGTTAATACATTCTTCTATTCTGGTTTGCGAAAAAGGCATTTGTCGTAGAAGTTTCAGTCAATTCAGATCGAATTATACAAATTTTGCTTTTGAATGATTTACTACATAATAAAATTAATTGTTTAAAAAGTATTAACTGGTTTTTGCAATCAATAAACAAAATAAAAACGTATTCGGGAATTATAAAATAAGTAATAAGTTTTTGCGTTTTGTACAATGACGTCAACGTTCAAAAACGTGATACAAATTGTAAAAAATACACGCATTGCGGGAAAGAGATAAACTATGTCCTCTCAATACCCATACAACTTGAAAAGCTAACATTATTTTTTAAGCTCTCCATTTATTTCTTCAACGCATGTATTGATTTTTATTCTATTTCATATTCGGAGTTTTGATTATACATAAAATTGTATTTAGAAAATGACAATCCGGATATAAAATCAGAAATCACATGTCTTAATTGAAATTTTAAATTGAAAAGTCATAGCGAATTCAAAAATTAATATCATAGATTTATTCATTAACCGTAAAAGAATATGGTGATTTAACAGAATTATGTCAACGACCTTGAACTTTTGCCCAATATACATAATAATGTAATTGTGACAGGACTGTTAATGGGTGATAAATTCTAATATCTGCTAATTTATGTGTGACATGGAGCCATCGAGGCGGATTAATAAAATTGCTTTAACAGTCCACTTTAAAACGGATAAATTAATCTACTCTGATAATCCGAATGAAATATATCGATTTAAACTGTTATTGATTTAAAAAAATATTCCACAATCCAATAAACATTCCATACGATCGGTTAGATATTTGTAATTCTGGTTCTAGAATTCTAATCCACAAATGGTCCGTTTTGCACAGTTTCTTCAGATAGTATTTTCTTCGAAATGTGTTTATTGCGTTTGTAAAATATGTTAACTTATTTCACGGTCAAATAAAAAAAAACAAACAAAAAATCACTTTCAATGAAATAAAAAAAAACTGACCTACATTCATGAAATGTCAACGACCGAATGAACTCACCTGGAATACTGGCCACTTTAATATTTCTAATTAAAAACTATTTTTCTTGAGTTCTAATGCGCATGGGATGCGTCCGCGCATGCGCACCGCTCGATAGGCAATGACGTCCACGGAAAGTGTCCCACTATGTTTATATGTAGACATCGTACAGTTATGTTTGAAGAAGCTACTGTGCGCATAGAAGTGACATGCGCTAGAACATATTCCAAAGTGCAGTATAAACACTATTGTGTGTCAATTTGATTCCATTTCAAGAAGTTCGAGCTATCGATCGTGAACTTAAACCAAGATTCTATTTCTTAAATCTATTTCTTACTAGCTGATCCGGCAGACTTCGTAGTGCCTCAATCGATAAATAAAACACCTAAACTTTTGTAAAAAATTAACTTACAACAAACAAAACATCAAAGGAGAAACAAAATTGTTATTTTTATTTAATTCCGAACATTTTCATATTAATCTACCTTTTAAACCTTCTCGGGACTTCCTCGAATAATTCAAGACCAAAATTAACCGAATCGGTCCAGCCGTTCTCGAGTTTTAGCGAGACTAACGAACGGCAACTAATTTTTATATACATATATAGATTTCAAGATTTTTTTTCTTCTTTCTTACATGTGTGAACGAGCTCGCAGCCTATCTGGTGTGTAGTCATTACTGGAGACCACAGAAAGCGTAATGTTAATACCACCACCGCTGCAAGCCTCAATAGTATTGTATATATCCAATTTGTCCCATCCTACAAAAGAGGACGCAGGACTTCTAGGGAGAAGGAGGAGATTGGTGATGACTTACAATACCCCCTAACATCAGTAAAAAGACAGAAAAATAATATGGCACAATACGATTTAATAGAAAATCTTCATAATTGATAATACACCTTTATTTTAAAAATTAAAAAACAAACAGACAAACTTACATTTGATAGTATTGTAAGTTGTCTTAACACAAAATTGTAATAGCTCTCTCATTACTCAGGAATATATCTGCTATCGATGTGTGTTTAAAAACACAAGTCCAATAAGATACTTAAAATAGTTGTTAAAAAAAATTATACAAAATTTAGTCTATATCTACATTTTCATAGTTCTACGTTATCGAGCACGCGAAATCAATAAACACAATGCAAAAGAAACGGCCATTCGTAGAAAGGTTAGCAAAATTAAATGATGCGAAGCGTATCAATATATCTATCGTGATTTATATCGAGACCAGTTATAAATTGTGGATATGTTGTTTAATTAAGAAACTGGAACGCCATTAAAAGAAACTAATACCAGTCAGTAAGCACATCCTTGTTTCGGTGGCGCCTCATCATCACTACATAGTATAAAACAAACTCGCTTTCTCAGTCCCTATATCTGACTGTCCCTATGTATGCTTAAATCTTTAAAACTACGCAACGGATTTTGATGCGGTTTTTTAATAGATAGAGTGGTTGAAGAGGAAGGTTTATATGTATAATAACATCCATTAAATAGTGGAGAAATCACTACATAGTATAAAACAAAGTCGCTTTCTCTGTCCCTATATATGTCTGTCCCTATGTATGCTTAAATCTTTAAAACTACGCAACGGATTTGTTGATGCGGTTTTTTTTAATAGCTAGAGTGATTGAAAAGGAAGGTTTATATGTATAATAACATCCATTAAATAGTGGAGAAATCAATAATAAATTAGTTTCCGAAGCGAAGCGAGGGCGGGTCGCTAGTCTATACTCTATACTATATTATTATTAATATTATTATAGTGTATTAAACACTGCCACGCCTGGGAAGACGGCAGGACACACTCCGGCGAGGTGGGCAACAATCGGCCGGAGCGTTAGGGACTATTGGGAGAGAAACCGGCGAACTATACGGGCATTGTCGAGCAAGACTGCTTTTTGCATTTGGGCCACCACCGGACTTTTTGTTGAGACCAAGCCTCTCGAGATGTTTTGAGAGGCTTTTAGGGACCAAACCATTCACCGACACAACTACCGGGATTATTTCTGTAGATACCACCCTCCACATGTCGGTCACCTCGTGCGCCAGGTCCAAATATTTGGTCTTTTTATCTGCCTCGGCCCGCACGAGGTTCTCGTCGTAGGGGATGGTGATATCCACCAGAAATACCCGAGACTCCGTCTGGTCCATCAGCACGATATCAGGCTTATTCGCAAGAATAGTCCTGTCCGTAATGATGGGCCGGTCCCAGTAGAGCTTGGCACGGTCGTTTTCGAGTACAGCGTCCGGCTGGTACTTATAATACGGTAGCCTCTGTTCGATGAGGCCATACTTAAGGGCGAGCTCTTGGTGGAGGATTCTGGCTGCTTGGTTATGTCTGTGCAAGTACTCAGTGTTAGCAAGCATAGAACAACCAGAGGTGACATGTCTGAGGGATTCACCCGGTCGGCGGCATAATCGACAGATGTCAGCTGTCCCATCCCTCAGAATGTGCTTCCTATAGTTGTTCGTCCTGATAACCTGATCCTGTATTGCACAGACAAAACCCTCGGTTTCCCCAAAGAGGTCACCGAATCGCAGCCAGTGCACGGAGGCTTCTTTGTCCACGTGGGGCTCATGCAGTGCCTGAAAGAAGCGTCCGTGCAGCTCTTTCCCTTTCCATATGGCCTCACGGTCAGAGGTACTGAGTACCGCCGGTGATTGCCACCCGTCTCTGGCCAGGGCTAGCGGGGTCAGTCCTTTGTCGCATTCCATGACCTCTCTGTGCATCACACTGTCAGCCCTCGATAGGAAATATTCCCTGAGACTGCACACCCCACTGTTGTGCATGACCTTGGCGCTAAGTAGGCCCCGGCCACCACACTTCCGCGGAATGTACAATCTCATTACCGAGGACTTCGGGTGGAGCATCCTATGGAGGGTCATAATTGAGCGGACTTTTCTATCCAGGGCATCCAGTTCGGTCTGAGTCCACCTGAGCACGCCGAAGGTATACAACAGGACGGGCATCGCCCAGCCGTTAAACGCCCTTGTCTTATTCACGCCCGACAAAAGGCTCTTACACACTTTTGTCAAACGTTCATAAAACAAGTCGCATGCAGCCTGTTTGACGACCGCCACGTCAATACCTAAATTTTGCGACATGCCCAGGTACCGGTATGTTTCTCCCTCGGAGAGTGCCCGAAGGTTTATCCCATCGGATACAGGTAAACGATCCGATGAGACTATGCTCCCTCTCTCTACATGGAGAACCGCACACTTGTCGACTCCCAGCCTCATCCTAATGCGACTACTGAAATCACAAGTGATGTCAAGCAGTCGCCTGAGGCCTGCAGCATGAGGAGCGTACAACTTGAGGTCATCCATGTAGAACAAGTGGGACACCTTCAAGCCCCCCCTTCGGAGCTGAAAGCCTGTCTTCGAAGCCTCCAGTAATGAACTGAGAGGATTCAGGGCCAGGCAAAACTACAATGGACTCAGACAATCACCCTGAAATATACCCCGATTCACCTTTATTCGGTCTTCTACAGCCGACAGCCGCACACCGGATAGACTAAGCATTGTGCTCCATTGCCCCATACACGCACCGAGGAAGTATTATTATTATTATTATAATATTATAATTATAAAGAGGAAAGATTTGTTTGTTTGTTTGTTTCGAATAGGCTCCGAAACTACTGGACCGATTTGAAAAATTATTTTTCCATTAGAAGCCGACATTGTCCCTGATGAACATCGGCTACTTTTTTTAAAAAAAAATTTATTTTAGTTTTTTGGTTTCATGTGTGTTTTAATGTTTCCGAAGCGAAGCGAGGGCGGGTCGCTAGTCAGTAATAAATTACAGTTTCCGAAACGAAACGAGGGCGGGTCGCTAGTTTATTATAAATCTCTAAATCAGTTTTACTGGTAATATTGCTCGCTTCTTTACCTGTCAATACAAAATGAACAATAAAATATATATATTTTTTTTATTGCTTAGATGGATGGACGAGCTCACAGCCCACCTGGTGTTAAGTGGTTACTGGAGCCCATAGACATCTACAACGTAAATGTGCCACCCACCGCGAGATACAAGTTCTAAGGTCTCAAGTATAGTTACAACGGCTACCCCACCCTTCGAACCGAAACGCATTGCTGCTTCACGGCGGAAATAGGCGGGGTGGTGGTACCTACCCGTGCGGACTCCCAAGAGGTCCTACCACCAGTGAAAAGTCCAATATGACTTTAATATACTACTCAATATACAATCATTAATTACTTCCAGAAGACAAACCAATTCGGGTACATTTTTGTCTAACATTTGTAAATACTTAATAAATTGAAAGGAATTATCTAGTACAAACAGTATACCTACTTCAAACTTCTATTTCACAAGCAAACAATTTGATGCATTCCTTGCTCTAATTTGCCATTCTAATCTGAATATAATCCACAGTAAAGGCTGTGGGACTTTAAGTTTTGAGATAAAGCTTGCATGCAACAAGATTGAAGACAACAAGCTACCAATCTCGAAGCATCAAAATCGCAGTCCTTGATACTTTAAATTCAAGGGTAACAGCTTCAAAAACAAGATCTCAGTAATTTCGTACGAAAACAATCCAAAGAAGAGGGCTTGACCAAATCTAGAACTGTTTCAAAATTTTTTATTTATTTAAAAGTAACCAACTGACGTTTGCCTGTACGAATAAGTGTCCTTAGATGAATTTGATATTTAATAGTAACAACTAGTGTAGTTAATAGTAACAGTAATAGTAATAGAAGCAGTAATGCGTTTCGGTTTGATGGGTGGGGCGGGGCAGCCGTTGTAACTATACTGAGACCTTAGAACTTATATCTCAAGGTGTGTGGCGCATTTACGCTGTAGATGTCTATGGGCTCCAGTAACCACTTAACACCAGGTGGGCTGTGAGCTCGTCCACACACCTAAGCAATAAAAAAAAAGCTACCTTCCAAAATTTCTAAATGCTAATCCATTTATTTGCTTACCGTAACCAACTTTAACAAAAGGATACTATAAAGCAGAGAAATAATCGCTTCTAAAAACGTTATTTATAATACTCAGTCAACGATCGTTAGCGCGAATTCAAGTGCCGTGAACTGCCTTTACAGTTTTCTATCATTTTATACACTCGTTAACATTTGCAAATAAAAAGAGCGTGAATAAGTATATTATGCGAATAGAACTGGCACAATTTAACCGACGCCATTTTAAAACTGTCTTTCGCTCGCCTGACCATGATTCCAACATAATTAAATTTCTTAAAAATCGTTCCTCGTTGAATTATGGCAAAAAGATAAACGCCCATTGTTATCTGCAACCTGTTTTGATGCGTTCCTTTGGTTTATTCTTGGAAACACCAATTTAGTTGTGACTATGTTACATCAACACGTTCAGTTTAACTGCGTGCTTAGTGCGAATTTTTTAACGTTCTCGATAGCGTAAAAGTTAACTCATATTTGTATGGAGTGGGATCGTTTGCCTACGTTTGCCGCTAGGGGCGCTGTTCCAACTGCATTTTTACTGGTGGTAGGACCTCTTGTGAGTCCGCACGGGTAGGTACCACCGCCCCACCTATTTCTGCCGTGAAGCAGTAATGCGTTTCGGTTTGAAGGGTGGGGCAGCCGTTGTGACAATACTGAGACCTTAGAACTATATCTCAAGGTGTGTGGCGCATTTACGTGTAGATGTATATGGGCTCCAGTTACCACTTAACACCAGGTGGGCTGTGAGCTCGTCCACCCATCTAAGCATTAAAAAAAAGGTGCTTAATATCCAACGGCGATCAAAAAGAAAAAAAAGAAAAAAAAACAAATTGGACTAACTTTTACGCTATCGAGAACGTTAAAAACTCTCACTAAGCACACTGAACACAACTCAGTAGCGATGGTATTCTGAATTGTGTGTCCTTCGATTAGTTCGGCTACTTCTCGGTTTAGGAAGATGACAGTTCACGAAATCGCAATCTAACAACAGCAGATAGTAGAACGTTATCCTCGTATTTCAACTTATTTTTATTGTGTTTTTTTTCTTGTTGAAGACAAATTCTCGTACTGGCTGAGGCGAATAACAAGTCGCTTGGACACACCTCAATGTAAGGAGATAACTACCCATAGATACTATCAATGGCAAGGATGGATGTAATAAGCATTTTTCCCTACTTATTCGCTGGTAGCCTAAGTGGCTATTTTAACAAAGCACAGACGTGCAACGGGCTCAACCTGGAAGAATTTTCTAACACTGGCCCTAGCAAGAGCAGTGCTTTGCAGAATCTACCACGTCATGATAATCGCCTTATCGTTGCCGCCGCTGACTACTCCCCGAATCCTGATCACGCAGAAGCCAGTCACCGTCGACGCCCTAGACACGTCCTTACGGATCCATCAGATCCAATAACCTTTGCATTAGACGCCTTCAGCTCTAACACTAGGAGCAGGCTTAGGGACCTCGGTAACCGTACTCGTCGAACTCGACAAAGAGTTCGCCNAACCTTTGCATTAGACGCCTTCAGCTCTAACACTAGGAGCAGGCTTAGGGACCTCGGTAACCGTACTCGTCGAACTCGACAAAGAGTTCGCCGTGCAACCTAACCCATGAATCAGCTCGCTGAGTTTCTCGCCGGATCTTCTCAGCGGGTCGCGATTCCAATCCGGTAGTAGATTCATTCGCGAAGCAGCTACTCTTGAACTGTTAGGTCTCCTTCGGAGGCGCTCGGGTAGCTGTTAGCAAATCCCACCCCTCCTGGCTGAGCCTTTGCTCGCCCACCTATCCTGGTGAAACTGGAAAGGCCTCCGGGCCACCAGTAATGCTTCAATCATAAAAAAAAAAGAATCTACCACCGGATCACAATCCGGACCGACTGAGAAGATCCGGCGAGAAACTCGGTAGGCTGGGTCTATGGGATAGTTCACTCGACGAACTACTCGTCGTATCAACAATCAAATAAACAATGAAGTTTATTTGAAGGCTAACTTTTCGTGCAAGCTCAAAACATGATCTTCTTCTCTACCTCTATCTTTTTTTTTTCTAGTTATTCCAGTAAAGAATAATAGTACAGAGTAGTAGGAAAATTATGTACAAAGGCACTGCTTATTTCTTTAAGAAATATCTTCAAGCAGACCTGCGAGAGGATTATTAGAATAATAATTAAAAGTGATGAGTGTGTGTAGAACAACTAAAATAACAAATACAACATGATTGTTAATTATAGTAATGCACATACACATAACAAATATTATTAAACTTGAAGGCGAAACCGAGGTGAGCTCACGGGGCTCAACGGGCATCCGTAATGACGTGTTTAGGGCGACGTCGACTGTTTACCATTCGGTCCACCGGATCGGGTATGTAATTACTGGCGGCTACGACAAGAGGGTTTTCATGTCGTGCCGCCTACCTCTATCTGCCTGTATTTGTTTGAATTATGCTGTGGATAATTCTTTAATTCAATGTTCAGATGGGTGAACCAGCTCACGGCCCACCTCTGATATTAGTGTTACCGGAGCCCATAAACGTCAGCTAAGTCCCGTCATCCTCCTAGAGCCATGAGTTCTATATTTCATTTTTATAGTACAACGGCTGCCGCGTCCTTCAAACGAGAACGCATTACTGTTTCGCGGCACGCATAAACGTGCCGACGACGAAGCCGCAATCCGATAAATACTATGCTTTACAATCGTTTTATTAAACCGGCGTTTATAAATTTAGTATGTAAATTTAACAAAAAAAAAAAACGGTTGTGAAAGTAGTTCCGTAAATTAATAAATCCGTTCTAGACAAATAAAACATAAATTCTCCAAGCGACAAGATCTACTCTTATTTTATTAATAGACTAGCGACCCGCCCTCGCTTCGCTTCGGAAACATTAAAACACACATGAAACCAAAAAATAAAATAAAAATTAAAAAAAAGTAGCCTATGTTCATCAGGGACAATGTCGGCTTCTAATGGAAAAAGAATTTTTCAAATCGGTCCAGTAGTTTCGGAGCCTATTCGAAACAAACAAACAAACAAATCTTTCCTCTTTATAATATTAGTATAGATATAGATTAATTTCTAAAATATTACGGGTGTCGTTGAATTATTTTTGTTGCTTAAAGCGTGGGCTGTATTTTGGTGCTAACTTAAATAAAAACTAGATTCAGAGCGAAGGATTTTTATTTTTTTAATGTACAACACATGCACGTACGATCAGATTTTATTTTGTAACTGCAACTAACTGTGTTGCCATACTTAGGGTGTTCCCGCATTTAAAAACAGTCATTTTATGTTCAGGATTGCCCTAAGCATTTGTAATATATGGGGAAGAAAATTGAAATTTGTGAAATTCGTAGACAACACCAATGGGAATGTTCACCTTTAGAGATAAGAGCGTAGTCTCAACTACATTTGAATAACTGCTATATCAATCAAATTGCGTAATAAAGAAAACTCAAAACATGATGACACCGATAATGACATCATATCTCACGTAACTTAGTTTGACTACACACCGCAATTAGTGAAGGTACCACCACCCTGCCCATTTCTGCCGTGAAGCAGTAATGCGTTTCGGCTTGAAGGGTGGGGCAGCCGTTGTAACTATACTTGAGACCTTAGAACTTATATCTCAAGGTGTGTGGCGCATTTACGTTGTAGATGTCTATGGGTTTCAGCACGGAATAGACCTTATTTATCTATTCCGTGAGTTTCAGTAACCACTTAACACCAGGTGGGCTGTGAGCTCGTCCACACATCTAGGCAATAAAAAATAAAAAAATAATTTGAAAGTAATTTTATATCAAGATGGATAATATAAATCTGGAAATCTAAGTTAATGATCGGAAATTATGTCTCAGCTATCAATTCGAAATCGGAAACAGCGGATAACAATAATAGTTATTTGAATGGGGCTCATTAAAAAGTTTCTCTTTTCACTTCGTTCCTCTTAGCAATAGAACAGGATTTTCTCGCTTCCTTGCAATCTAGACCAGTTGGCGAGTTAAAAACGTACACCGTAACATAAATCCAGATACATACGTAATTATTAAATTATTTGCCTGGTATCCGATACAAGTATCGAAATAAACTTTCAATATATAAGATTAATCATTTACAGCTTCTTTATTCTTTTTTAATAGTGCATATTTTTTGAAACAGTCCGTAAAGAGTCTAACCCAGTAGAAATGTGTGATACTTTCCAAAATGGATCATTAGCAGTTTTAAAAAGTTCATTTATCTTGAACCCGAAATATAACTGAAAGCTGACACACTGCGAGTTCCATGATGAAGAAGATGTTAATTTTTGTTCTGCTAATTTTTTATTTACTTATTGCTTAGGTGGGTGGACGAGCTCACGGCCCATCTGACGTAAAGTGGTTACAGGTCTAAATAACCTCTTTAGCTTACTGGCAGTAGACAGGAAAAACACTATACTGTAACTATACTTGAGACCTTAGATCTTATACCTCAAGGTGGGTGGCGCATTTACGTTGTGAATGTCCATGGGCTCCAGTAAACACTTAACACCAAGTGGGCTGTGAGCTCGTCCACCCATCTAAACAAAAACAAAAAAAAATATTCAAATCCTGCACTGTTTTTTTAAAATACTAAAGTTTTATCTACCTTACGAACAAATGAGGTTTTGATAGATAAGTTTTTTTTATTTTTCAAAAAGCCAAAACAAAATTGAGTGCGAGGTAGTGCGCTTTTGGCCATAGAGTAAACATACTCATGGCTGCAGCAGTCAAGTCACAAACCACTAGACCAACACGACAATCAAAGTTACCAATCAACATACAATCTGACATGAGAACTTCTTTCTGTAAATCTAGTTCATATTTTCACAACTAGTCTAAAACATGATTTTATTATTATTATTTAAACGGGTGAATTACCTTATTGAGTGATTAGAGCCCAGAGACACCACTACGTGAATGTGGTTACCTACTTTGAGACATGTAGTCGAAGTCTCATTGAAAAATGGCTATTATAAACTGGAACAAATAACTGATTCACGGTAGGAATAGGCAGGATGGTGGTGCCTACTCGTGCGGGATTACAATACGCCTTACGCCAACACACGGCTCAACGCAGAGTTATTTCGAAACCAACCCAATATTTATCTAATGAACAACTGCAGAAACAGTGGCCTAGATCGTTAATTTTCATACAAAATAAAGAACAACATTGTAAATTAAAGGCTTCGTCAAACAGAACGCGTAATTAGCGCGCGTCAGAACGCTACGCTATAGCGCTTATAGCGCTGGCGCTCTGTGTGACGGTATGTTACCACAGTAGCACATCACATCTCGGCGTCATAGCGCGGCATTAGTTTAGCGCTCTGACTCGCGCTAAGTACGCGTTCTGTTTGACGAAGGCTTTAGATAAGAAACCTATTTGGGTCGCCTAAGATGACACCTAATTGTAAAAGTTATTACTCTAATTTGTACTGACGTATATCCACCACCCCGTTTCTTCCCGTGGATGTCGTAAAGATGACCTTGGTATTTCTATACGCGAATTCATTCATAAAATAAACCTGTGACTGGTTTTATAAATCCAAGGACTGATAATATATTCGGTAATTCATAAGAGAACACAGAAACGCGAACCAAGCCATCTATACAATATAGGTGTGTGACTTCGAACCCACATCTCATATGTGCGCGTGAGTTCTTCTAGGCTGTATCTATAGCCAGCACCAGCAAGAACTATCTTGCCTATTCTGTGCGCATCATCATCATAGTCGGTTATTCTTGGCAGAGCATACGTGGTCATGTGGAAGAATCCTTGTTTATTAAAGCCTCATTATTTCGACCTCATGTATTAGAACACTGATGTCGATGGATTCCGATGACCTCATAACACCAGATGGGCTATAACCTCATCATGACACTTACTTTGAAATATCCTGAATAATCTGGAAGCTTAAAAGAAGATCGCGCAAAGAAAGGAAGATTGTTGTGTCAAAAAAAAAATTAAAACGCAGTAGGTATATAGCAATTCTATATTAAAATATTTTTGTACATTTCACAGTGATGATTTCAATATAATTCCATATGTACCTATTTCACTGGTTCAAAAGAATCCAAAAAATGGTCGTGATGTTTTAACTGAAACAAAAGAAAACCATTAACAAATAATAATGAACTCAGTTTTCTTCTTGTGTTTATCCCAAAGTATGTGGAGTCGACGCAAAATATGCCATTATTGCCATGTTAATAAATTCAGTATATGAACTAAAATGACGAAAAAGTTTTAAACACCTTTCTAATTGAGAACAACTTCTATTTAAAATTGGAAATCACGTACATAATCTGTGTAATTACGTAATATGTCATTATTATTTTTAAATTAAATTAAAAATATTCTTATATACATAGATGCCGTATCTAACTCATTTTATACATATTATTTTGCGCTCACTGGTCGAAATTCCAGACCGTAATCAATGACGTCTCTATATTTAGCTTCAGTTATTTTAATACATTTTCTCTTTTGTTAGTAAAAATTTTGTTTGCTAAATTTGAAAGAACTGTCTCCGTTGATTTTTTACAGATAGCACAAAAATTCACACATTCTTATCAACTAAGAAAATAAAAGACTTTTTTCCCCTCGGAATCTGAGAATCGAGTACTTTTGTCTCGCGTGCCAGGGACTAAAAGCGAACTTTTCATCCCGGTTGAAAAAAAAATTGCATAAGCACCTAGGGAGAAAAGTAGAATATCCCCACCCGTGATTGTCACAACAACGATTGTCACGACAACAATTCACCGGCGCGAATGTCCTACTTTTCTCCCTCGGTGCATAATATACTATTAATAAATAGAAGACAAACTGCTTCATATACCTACACATAGAATAAGTTTAAACTTTCATACCTCGATAGTTGATGGGCTTCTCAACATATTCTGTGGGCTCGTCAATCTTCCCTTCAAATAACACCAAGCCAAGCTTATTGTCTCTAATGAAGAAAACGAAGGGTCGATCGACCCTTAGTTCTACGCCATCATTAATGAGCGGCACAACCATGGCTGCGGACGCCGCGGCAGCTACAGTCCCCTGCTCATCCACTGACATGTGCACTTTGTGATATAGGCTGCTAACATACGGAGTTGTGCCTTCAAAGATGCCGGAGAGGTTTACCGACGGTGAGAAAAGGGCGTTGATGCGCATCTGGTATTGAAAATAAAAAAAAAGTACATTTATGATTTGCTTTTTTTTATTGCTTAGCTGGGTGGACGAGCTCACAGCCCACCTGGTGTTAAGTGGTTACTGGAGCACATAGACATCTACAACGTAAATACGCCACCCACCTTGAGATCTAAGTTCTAAGGTCTCAAGTAGATATCAACGGCTGTCCTACCCTTCAAACCGAAACGCAGTAATGCGTTTCAGTTTCATGGCAAAAATAGGCAGGGTGGTGGTACCTACCTGCCTGGACTCACAAGAGGTCCTACTACCAGTAAATTGCTACGTCTTAATTAGTCTACGTCTACCAGCCGTCCGGATTTTTTTTATTTATTGCCCTTTTAGGCAGACGAGCATACAGCCCACCTAATGGTGAGTGCTTACATGAACATCAGCGACGCCAAGAGTAGAGCCAAGCCGCTGCCTACCGTTATATTTATGTTCAGAGTCAGTTATTATAGATGTCATGTTGTGTGATAACCCTTAAGCATAAAAATAAACTCTAGTAACGGTACATTACTGGTGGCCCGCTGGCCTTTCCAGTTTCACCAGAACAGGTGGTTGAGCACGGGCTCAGCAAGGACGGTGAGATTTGCTAACAGCTACCCGAGCGCCTCCGAAAGTTTTATGAATGCATCTACTACCCAAAAACCTACATAAAAAATATAGGTGATATTAAATTCAGCAGGCTTGTTCTTTTGTCTGGCAAAAAAAACACTGATTTTGTTGCATGACCTTTTTCTTAATAATATGTAATAATATTAACTTCAACTTTATCGATAATTTTGATATTTTCATTAAATCACCAGTTCATATTTTTATATTATTCTTGGTTGGTTGGTAGGTAAGATCGCAAAATATAATTCATATTTCATTATTTTATCAATATGTAATTCGTATTTAAATATAATTTCTAAAGAACACAATTTATCAACAACAACAAAATACCGAACAAAGCTCGGTCATTATCTAGTATTAATTAAAATTGAAACATACGAGTACATGATACTCACACTTTTCAAAGCTTGTATTATGTCTTCATTGTAGTCCACTGTGAATTTGGGCAGGGACAACTGAACTTCGGTTGATTCCAGAAGATCGGATATTTGAGGTAGACTCATGAATGGCAGATCTCTGATGAGGGCGGCACAGCCATCGCGTTCTATTGGCACCAAAAGGATCATAGAGTAACGCTTACCCTGAGAAAAATAATTAATAACTTAAAATTTTTATGTATTATGCTAATTTACTTTTGTATTCTAGTCTATTGTAGTCTATTCTATCGGCCCACAGACGTCCACTGCTGGATATGCATAGGCCACCCCTAAACCTTGTCACAATCATCGGTCCTGAGCTGTTAGCATCCAGCATACCTTAAAATTATTTGATTTACTCTGATCTGAATCTCACAAACCTCAACGCTTTCTCGACAAAAAAATATTAACGTTTAATTAAAAAATTAACTCCCAATAAAACTTGCTTAATTACTGGGTAAAGGCTGTAAGTACTGCGAATTTTTGCTACGAAGCAAACATGCGTTCCACCTTGGGGGGTCGAATAGCCGTTTTTGAACCTAATTTTCCGATGGTCTCTAAGAGTTACAGTAAACACTTCATTTCATAAAAGATTTGAGCACATGCCATGTTGCCGACAAGATAGGTAAAATTGCACACGAGACGGCCTAATTTTATTTTACATTATTTCATTGATTAGTTTTAAATAGGTTTATGAATCTCTTAATTAAATCTTTATTTATGATACCATTAACATTTAACGATTCGAGGCAAAACCGAAGGAGTTACTATCTATCTATCAACATGTCATCATACTATGCTATATGCATCTATCAACATACTATGCTATCAACAGAGACGACTAACAAAATATAGAAAAAGACCATGATCACATTCAATCCGTCAGAACATTCCAACAGAAATAAATGGAACGAATTCTTGTATTATACATATAAATATTATTTTAATGCGTATCCGACATAATTTGTACCATGACATTATGTATAAGATCTGAGCTTTGATTGAGAAACCTGATCGTAATTCCCGAGTGCGTCATCGCGCGCGTCAACACGTCGCTAAAATAAAAGAAATACATTCTGCTATTGAAAGTCGACGAACGTGTCAGACATCGCTACGTTAGTTCCACCTTGAGACTTGAGGTCGAAGTCTCAATGCTTTGACAACAGCAATAGACAAATTGATAGTATCGACTCGTGCTTCACAAAATGTCGTCATCTATGTATGTAATGATATTAAGGATTGGAGTATTTTGTGTAGAGCTTGTCCGTACTTAAAATGTTTCACAATATGCTTAGGGCCGGTCATCATAGAGGTACTTCGGAAACGTGAGAAGAATAACACTTCATCTGACTTCTTATTAAGATTCAACAAACTTGGACTGTTTCCTTGTCTGTCGAAGTAACCCAATAAAAAATAAAAGCTCAATGCAAATTTGTAAATTACTAAACAGTTGTGGTGGGAAAGTTTTGATTGTATCGCAAGAAAATGCGAGTACGTACTTATCTATATATTACGAGTAATACGTGAAGCAAAATTTTGTAGTCCTTTTTACGAAAATTACGCGGACGGAGGAGTACGAAATTCCCACACTTAAATCATTAAAAAGATAATATTACACATACTTCCATATATTTGACACACACAAGCATGCATACTATTTGTTTCTTGTCAAACTTTTCTTATTGCTTATAGTCTGGGGTCTAATTGATAGATTAATATTGTTTGTCCCTATTAATATTTGCCTAAAGTGTAGTCTTGGCGAAATCTGTGATTATAGAAGAATAGTCTTTGACAATAGAACCTTAATAGTGGTTAAACATAAAATTTCAATGAATTATAGTCGAATTAGCTACTGCGGGACAACTAATATGTTTTTTATTTTTTTTATTGCTTAAATGGGTGGACGAGCTCACAGCCCACCTGGAGTTAAGTGGTTACTGGAGCCCATAGACATCTAGGACTTAAATGCGCCACCCATCTTGAGATATAATTTCAAAAGTCTCAAGTATAGTTACAACGGTTGCCCCGCCCTTCAAACCGAAACGCATTACTTCTTCACGGTAGAAATAGGCGGGGTGGTGGTACCTAACCGCACGGACTCACAAGAGGTCAGTAATTATGCAAATTATAATTTTGTGGGTTTGATTTTTATTACACGATGCTATGCCTTTACCGTGGAAGTCAATCGTGAACATTTTTTGAGTACGTATTTCATTAGAAAAATTGGTACACGCCTGCGGGATTCGAACACCGGTGCATTGCTTCAACACGAATGCACCGGATGTCTTATCTTTTAAGCCACGACGACTTCAAAAAACGTATGTATAATACTATGATATTACCAAAGACCTCATCCACTGGAATGATTCATTTTGTATGTATATATATAAGTTCTATTTTAGGCATTTTATACCTTTGAAAAACGTATTATCAATATTTAAGTGCCTACCGCATACGGCAACTCCACGGCATGTGCCCTCAAGTTATCCACATAAGCGTATTGTATATCTGTTTGAAGTTCCATCATGGCCACATTATGGCAAACTCCCTTGTTGTAGAAGCAAGCCGGGCGTGTAAACTTAGGATTGAAGGCTTGCATCCAAGAACCCTTGAAGTACAGGGCATTTGTCACAATCATTTCTGTCAAAGCGTTGATTTGCGCTGGAAAGTAAAGAAAAAAAATATTACAATACAAATACAAAAATATTAAAGTTACCATTGTATTATTATAGTATGCGTGAAGTGTATTTTAACCCAATTTTATACGCGTTATGATCTAGGAATTGATTTTTAAGAACCGTATGAACATCAAATTTATTTGTGGTTATAGGGTTATATAATCGATTTATCGGACACACTAAGCACAGTTTCAAATTCAGGTACATATCGACGCTTGAAAGGCAAACGTGACTAAGCAACAATAGCTGTTTTGTACATAAATGATAGGCAATAACCGTATTCGATGCGCAAAAAATATATATTTCTAGGTCTATTAAAATCATTTCAATCCTACAGCTACTAGCTAGATTCTACTACAGCTAGATTCGTTAAAATAAATTTTGTTTTCAGGTATTTCAATTTAAAATTAGTCTACTGTAAAGTTCACGCATTGTCGCTTAGTCACGTTTGCCTTTCAAGCGTCGATATATTTATCAATGAAACAACATGCATTCGGAATCTTAAATCAAAAAACAGATAAACGAATTTAATATCAACTGAGCCAAGTACAATGTCTATATTTTTATTTAAAAGTGTTTTTAAATAAAGTTAAAACTATATAATTTAATTTTCGTTAAGTAAATGGCACAAACCTTGATCTACAATAGAAGGGATGAGTCCTTTGGTTTTTCCGTTAACCCAGGCGTTTATTTGCTGTGCTACGACTCCGTTGTTACCAAAGTTCACTGGTACAGCTTCCGAGAAATACACATACCGCAGATTTGTCTCGTAATCTTTCTTGAGTCTTAATTTATTGGAAACGAATATTGCATTCGCATTTTCTAAAACGGTTTCTGTTGAATTTGACTGAAAAATAAGTTTTTAATTAGAAATAATTACAAAAAAAAATATTTTATTATTATTATATATTTTATTTTGTTATTATTTTTATTTTTCGTGCAAATTTTCGCATTTTATAAATTTTAAAATGAAAATCTCAAGTTGATGAAAATTAATGCTTCCTGATTTTGGCTTGGCCGGAATGGTATAATACACTCGACTCACCAATGGGTCGAACAGCGTACAACGTGTTAATATCTTATGTACCTACTAAGATTTTGTGAAAAAAAATCTAATTGGACTTTGTAACAATCAAACTCAAACATGGTTTCCAGACTATTCTCTTGTCGCCGTTAGTCTGTTTGTAGTGGGCAAGCATTTACGCATTGAACACATTACGATTAGAAAATTGTTTTTTTTTTATTCCCCTTGTAGGCAGACGAGCATACGGCCCACCTGATGGTGAGTGGTTACCGTCGCCCATAGACTTCAGCAATGCTAGGGGCAGAGCCAAGCCGCTGCCTACCGCTCAATACTCTCCACAAGCCTCGTTTGAAGAAGGACATGTCATAGCGCTCGGGAAGCACCGTGGAGCTCATTCCATAGCCGGATGGTTCGTGGCAAAAAATACCTCTGAAAACGCACTGAGGATGACCGCAATGGCTCCAGGTAGTATGGATGAAATCTACTCCAGTGGCGGGCGCTGCGATGGTAAAAACGAGATGACGGTATCATCTCAAAAAATTCCTCAGAGCACTCCCCATGGAACATACGGTACAAAATACAGAGGAAACCGAAATCCCTCCGCGCAGACCCAGATGATCCAAACGATCCGTGAGAATGGGATTATCGATAATCCGAACGGCCCTCTTCTGTATGGAGTCAAATGGAAGAAGCTGGTATTTGGGAGCCCCTGTCCAGAGATGGGAGCAGTACTCCACGCGAGGCCGGACTTGTGCTTTATAAAGCAAAAGTCTTTGTCCAGGTGTGAACTACCGCTTCGCTCTGTTGAGGACTCCCAGCATTTTGGACGCCAACTTGGCTTTGCCTTCCAAATTACTCCGAAACTGGACATTGCTCGAAATGTCGACCCCACGTATCCCGATCCTCTGGGAAGGTTTCTGGGATACTCCTTGGAATTGCGGCGCCTTGACAAAGGGGTTCTTCTTCGCAGTGAACACGCAAACTTGCGACTTTGACGGGTTGAATTGAACCAAGTTCAATTTTTAGACAACATTAAAGAGGTTGTTGAATTGAACCAAGTTCAATTCACCCCATTTGGAGACTCGCCGCAGAGATTGTTATTCTATTTGAACTCGCGACGAAAATGGGATCCGTAGATATATATAACTATATTTTTGATGAAAGCACTTTTTAAAGGATGTCTTCATCTCATGTAAATTTGTCTTATTAATTCGAATGTTTACAAGATTACGTTAGCTGAACACACCTAGTGTAGTCAGAGAAAATGTTACAAAATTTTATCCAAACAAGTAAGTTACGTGTAGAAACATTCTTATGATAGATCAGACTTAGTTTCAATATAAATCAGTAATTTAGGTACCTCTTCGCATTTGTATTAAAAGCGTTTTTTTTTTCTTTCCTACCTAAACTGGTAGCCTTGAGAGGCTATTCCAGTTAACCTTAACTAGTAGGTGAGCTCACGGGGCTCAAACCTGACGACGTTGCTAACACGAACCCTAGCAAGAGCCGCGCTTCGCAGAATTTACCACCGGATCGGAAACGCGACCCACTGAGAAGATCCGGCGAGAAACTCAGTGGGCTGTGTCTGAGGGTTAATTTGCTCGTCGAGCCCTTCATCGCAAGCGACTGGTTCGACGAGAACGGTGACCGGTGCTTGAAGTAACTAGAAGCACCGTTAGTGGATCGGGAGGATAAAAGCGTAAGTAACATGCGCCCCATATTAAAGAGGTTGCTGGGTTGGCTACCTACATTTTTGTGACATTTTCAGTTTTCTGAAGTCACACGTACATTACGTTGCGGTTTTAAACAATTGCTCCTATTTGACAGCCTACTAGAAATGCCTGGAAGTTGTAAACAATCTCTTCGGACCTCCTCCTTTGATAGTTAATAAGACATACGTACATGTAAAGCCTTTAAATAAAGATTCATTTGCTCCCTCAAATCGTCTTTCACTGACGAAAGTCTCAAAGCACTTCTTATTTCGTCTGCCGTCTCCCCCGTAGCTCCTTCCAGCAACATGGCTAGCGTAGATTTTATACTTGCCGGCGATACCATCACATTGCCATGTTTATTCTCAGCCGAGTACTTCAGCAAATCAATATCGAAGAAGTTCAATCTGGAGTACAGTGCTCGTGTATCAAGACAATCCAATGTCTGAAGGCTGGCGAAAGTTACGACTGAAACAAATTATTATGAAAAAAACGTTTAGGAAATATAGTAATGTATGTTTGATTAAAATCAATTATAATTTTAATTAATTTAGACATCGTTGACAAATATATTCTGCATTAGATTTGCAAATATACAAAACAGTATGTTGGCGAAATACCTCGTGTACTATATAGTATTCGATCGTCAGAACTGATGGTATATTTTACTGATTGTAGGACCTCTAGGCGGGTAGGTACGACCACCCCGCCTATTTCTGCCGTGAAGCAGTAATGCGTTTCGGTTTGAAGGGTGGTGCAGCCGTTGTAACTATACTGAGACCTTAGAACTTATATCTCAAGGTGGGTGGCGCATTTACGCTGTAGATGTTTGTGGGGTCTAGTAACCACTTAACACCAAGTGGGCTGTGAACTCGTCCAGCCATCTAAGCAATAAAAAATAAATAAATAAAACGGTAAGGAACTGTCTTACACGCAGTGTGCGTGTTTAATTAATAATAAAGAGTTTGTTTTTGTTATAGAACCGATGCGGAATCATTAATACTACGGCTATAATGAAAACTTATTTCCAAAATTAGCCCCCGCTTGCTACTTCATTGAACAAAGCATGGGTAGAACCTTCGCAAACTAGCCTACCAAAACAAGGAAGAGATCAAAAAACAATAAAAAATAAATAATGCACCAACGAGTACACACAGCGTTTACAATTAACATAGATTATAATAAATATTACATACATTATCATAATTGTAAATAATTGAGCAATTAGTGGAAGTCGTACATAATTAAAACGGGCACTTTATAACGCAAAAGGAACCATTCTTACAAAGGTTTTTTTGTTTGAACTTTTTTATCGAGAACGTGTCAAGGCGAGGTTTTTAAAACGAGTTTTGTATTAAACAAACTCGCTTCGAAATTGGTTCCAATGTTGGAATCGAAAATAAGGAAAATCTCACGAGCTCAACACAATGGTCATTCAAAACTCCTTAGTCGTATATTAAGTATTGTTTAACTCAAATGGCAACAATTTACCAACCAAATTAAATTCATTAATTCAATATTTCAGTTTTTGGGGTGTAGTATTTTTAAAGATTTGGTTTCTCTTCATGTGAAAATGAGCTGACGGCTCTTCTTGTATTAAGTTGTTATCAGGGACCGGGAGGGCATAGGCGTAGAGGATTTTTTTTTCTAAATATCTATTTTTCAGGTCAAGGATATCAAATAATAAATTAAGTTTAAAAAAATCTGCATTTTTTTCGATTCTATTCTTAATTCTAATTCTCTTAAACGTAATTTAACCCCCCCCCTTGTCATTTGTCATTAGATTATGAATGAAAATTCAATCATTGTGTAAATCAACTTATCACAAATTTACGAAAACATTTTATTACTTTAACTGTATAAATAAATGGCGAAAAAGGTTGAATCTTAATATTATTTATCCGGATAATTGGATTTGTAAAACTCGATTTCGAGACGGTTTCCGCAAAACCTGAATGTAGTTGTTATTAGCATTGACTAAAACAAAATAACTTACCAAAACATATTAACACACGCATGATTGAGCACTTATGTTTAATTATTTACCGAAACCATTTGCTTATATGTATTTTCTGGGAGGATAAAACAGCTCACGCTGTATATACTGCCTCCATTGACTGCTATATTACGACTGCGAGTGGTGAGAAGTTTTACGCTTTGTAAAAAATAATACGTCATTACCTTACTTAGGTGAACGACCAATCAACATATAGTTGCTTAATAATTAGACGTGACATCACATATGTACCTACATAGATCGAACAGAAACCAGTTCTTCAAATGTCAAGATATTTTTAGGTTATTGTTTTTATCAGATTTTTTTGACAACGTGCAGAAAGATTTGGCACATCGAATACTAAAATAAATGCGGCTGACTTTTTTCCTACTTAATTATAAGTATGTAGCCTTGATGGGGCTATTTTAGTTTTCGGACTGGTTGGCGAGGTCACGAGGCTCTCAGCCTGACAGACATTGCTAATATCCGCCCTAGCAGAAACAGTCCTTCGCTGAATCTACAGCCGGATCAGAATCGCCACCTAAGATGACCTGTGTGCTTAGTGCGAGTTTTTTAACGTTTTCGATAGCGTAAAAGTTAACCCAATTTTGTATGCAATTGGAACAGCGCCCCTAGCGGCAAACGTACGCAAACGATCCCATTGCGTACGTTTGCCGCTAGGTCCTAGTCTGTGCGGTAAAGTTACATGTCGAACTCTTCATCACATTCAACGAGTACGGCGAGAACAATGACCGGTGAGCGACTGATCTGTTATACTGTATTTGGAGATAACAAAAAAAAAACATAATCTATATAAATAAATAAAATTGGAGTGTCTGTTTGTAATAATAAAATAACCACTTTTAACTAAATGTGCAAGTATGTATACTCAGGTCATATACCAAAATAACATTTTTTTTTACATTTTTGTCTGTCTGTCTGTTTGTTCCGGCTAATCTCTGGAAAGGCTGGACCGATTTTAGACCTTTAACTGATAGGTAGCTGATGATGTAAGGAGTAACTTAGGCTACTTTTTTTAGACTAGCTTCGCCCTGCGGCGTCACCCGCTTTACGACAATAGCCGCGGGTAACATCGCGGGACTCCGCTAGTTGGTAACTATGATTTGATTTAGCCCAGCAATGCGTTTAGGTTCCTTGAAAGCTGAAATGGGTCTTCTTACGAGACTATCGTTTAAAATACTTAATACAAACTATACTAAACTATACCTTTAAATCCATACCAAAAAACCATTTTTGAAAATGTTAGCGTGATTATCATTTTAAATCCTAACTGTAAATGGTCATTAGATTTGATATAGACCATTTTTAAAAACCCGTTTTCTTAAACTTTTATCCGTGTTGAATTTTAAATGTGATTTGTAAATTAAATTCTTGATGAGTCAGAGGCTTGAAATTTTGAATACACACATAGAATAGAATCAGACGACAGGGATGAGCAAATATTGTTATTTTTTGTTTTTCTAATTCAATAAAATAATTATGCTAAACACTATTAAATATTATTCGTTACGCATCGTGCAGTCACTTTTGTCAATATCTCTAGATTATTATTAAATTTGATTCCTTTTTTTCTTGGCTGTTGTCCTGTGATTTTTAACTTTATGTTTATTTTGTCTAAAATCGAAGTAAAACGTATTTAAGTTTGCTACAAACACAATAAGAGATTAATTAAATACAATAAGAGTTAGACTTTACAAAATAAGAAGAACGCACTAATTCGATGTGAATGAACGAAACGAAGTCAAACTACCTACCTCTGAAACTGTAGTTATTTTTATAAGTTTAACGCTTTAAGGAATAGTTAGCTTTGATTAGAATTAGTAATTAGCGCAGTAAGAAGCGCAGCCGGAAGGTAAGAGTGACGTCTAAACTTATTACTGAAAACATGACCGCCACGATCATACTGCCAAGAGTGTGACAACGAAAAATAGAAAGTTACTATTAAATTAAGTATGTACGATACTGACTGTTCTACTCGTAATAGTCTTCACTGAGATAGAACAGTTATTGATGTTTAACAAGTCAATTTCGAGCTTTCCCCCACTCTTTTAACGACGGTTGGACCATATTTGCTTAGAGCGGCAGCATGCTTGAGTATAGATGTAGGCAAATAAATATTAAATCTCAGACAGGACAAAATCATTTTTCGGATATTGCTCTCCCTTATCGGGGATCGACAACCATATATACTTTGAATACTTACATAAGAACAGAGAGTGGCTTCTCTCGTTGTATCACTGGCATACACTTTCAGTCAAAATATTGTTACACCGGTAAGAGTAACGCCATCTATCGCCGAATAGCCGAACGAATATCGAAAGATCAAGTAGCATCTTGAACGCTCGAGAAGTACAACGCCATCTATTGTCAGATAGCGGAAACACACAATTCTAGACTTTTGTGAAATATTCTCGATAATTCTAGGGATGTGGTATCGGCTATAAAAGCGTTGCAGAGATGGCACGCAGTCAGTTAGTAATCGGAACTACTCGAAGTGAAAGAAGCAAATTGAGAATTTTAAAGTGCTTGGGACATTTTCTAAGTGCTAATTTTTTTTTTTTTGGTCAGGAGGAAATCGCCGGACTTCCGCCCTCCACTGGGGATGGAGGGTGGGGTATGTCAGAGTCGAACTGACTAAAACCTCCTGTCGCTCAACAACCAACGTCCAAACCTCGCATGAGACAGAACTCATGAAGAGGCAAAGGGGGGAAAGTGAAGCGTTTAGTGCGGAGCACATCTCTCCCATCACCCTCCCCCTCGGGACGCCGGACTGGCGGTCGTCGGCGCCAAGACCACCAGCCCTCTCGGTCGACAGGCTATCCGGAGCCCGCCTAGATGGCGCCGGTTAGAATGGGTTATCCTACGGAATACCCCGCTAGGTCAGAACCAGCGTGGATCGAGGATAGCCGGCCTTCCATCACCCGGATGCTCTTGCGTAAAACGCGTGCAGAGCAGCTTGCACGTCGTCTTCTTAGGCCCCCTTCGCCGGTCCCCAGACCGACATATGAAGGGGACCCGAAACACTTAGAGGGCCAGGGCTAGGGCGAGATCCGCCTCCCTGGCCCCCGCTCGACGGCGGCGGGATTGTGCGTCTCTCACGCGCCCCGCCGCCTCCTTCTGCGAGATGGTGCACTCGCAGAAGTCGAGCATCGCCTTCCACGACTCGTCGTCGCCGAGCATCGATGCCACAACACTCGGCAACGACAAGTCGTTTCCTATTTTTCCGACGAGGACACGGCGCCACTCCTCCCATGCGGGGCAGGCAACGAGCGTGTGCTCCGCCGTGTCCAAGTCGCAACCACAATGGTGGCACTCTGCCGTCGGCTCGGTTCCGATCCGGTGCAGGAACTCACCGAAGCAACCATGCCCAGTGAGCACCTGCGTGAGCCGGAAAGTGAGGCGTCCTCTGTCACGATTCACCCAATCCACAAGGATCGGGCGAATCGCCTCGACGGTCCTACGACCAGCCGAAGGATCAGCCAGCCGTCTGGACCATTTTAAGTGCTAATAGAGTGTTAATTTGTAATTCAGTAGAATTTTTATTTATTCCGAACCCCAGCGCATAAAAATATACAACATATAGGTAGACTCTCCTCTCGACCTGAATTTTCCCTTCAATAAGAAGTTACAACTTGGACAAGCTCATTTTTATCGTCGCACAATATGACTAAATCAGTTAATCTTAGCACTATATTGATGCTCAGAACCCCCAAATTATTGTGTGTTATTTACTGCTTGTTTTTTTATACATTCCTTCTGTAAGTCTCCAAGGATTCGATCACAAATACCACGAAGTATCTATGTTTCAGAAGACTCTTGCACAACTCTGCACATGATTTAAAGACTATGATCACGTATATCATCCACCAAAGAAAATTATAGTTTTAAACAAATTAAAAATAATTATAATCAAAAAACCCGTAAGCAATCGATAAACAACTGCTTTGTGACAGTTCCGATGTTTTCATTGATAACACTGGAAGCTAAAATAAGTTGACAAAATTGGCATAAAGTTAAAACTATTGCCATAAAGGAAAAAAAAAAAATTGACAAAAAGTTGACGTACCTAATGAAATGTCAGAAACATTGAAAAAATGTTTTATTTCTAATCCAAATACCCTGCTTACAGTAGTTTCATAAAACAAATATTTGTGTTATTATTATCTTTGTATTATTCATTATCAAGATTAACATCTAATAAATTGATTATTTTCTATCTAACCGCATTTTCATCTACAGTTACGAAAACTTTAAGAATGTAAACTTTACTTGAATTAGGCGAAAATGAATTAATTACAAAAATAACTTAGTTCGAAATAAGAAAAAAAAATTCTAATATATTAAGAATTTTATTGACAGTCAAAAAGCCATAAACAATTGATACGAAAATAATGACATCATTGTCACCCAGGGTTAGACGGTTATATGACGCATAATATATTCCCGATGATCTTGCAGCTATCGTCAAACGAGATGAATGATGGTATGCAATATATTATAGACACAAATGCATGTGCTTCTTTGTGATCAATGGAGTCGGGCATCTTATCAGATTATGTTGAAACTTTGTACTATTATTACTGGAAATTAAGAGGTTTTTGTCTTAGTACCATCAACATACAACAGGCGGCGGTGGTACTTGTAAATTTTGTGTTCGAAGCAATTGTTTTTCTCAGTCTGTTCCAATGTGTTAGCTGCCTGAAGACTGATTTGAAAAGCCATAAGAAATTAAAATTACAACTTCTGCATTAAGTAACAAAGTATTTTTTATTGAACAATTCTATAGTACTTTATAATCCCCATCGACTATCGAAGGATCGGAGACTCTTCCCGTAAAAAGCAATTGTTTCGTGTACTCGTCTTGTATGAAGAACAGGAACGGCTTGTTAACCACCACTTCATAGTCGTTTTCGTCGTCCTCACCGAACTTGTTCACTATTCCTATTTCTGTGTGAAATTCAAAAATACAAATTAGTACTTGTTAGACTGGAAGCTCTTCTATCTATAGTTAAAGGCTTGTAACAGCAAAACTCAAGGAGGATGAGGTTGTTCACCCTAAAGCGGCGGATTTCAGGTAATCGGTAGGCAGCGGCTTGGCTCTGCCCCTGGCATTGCTGAAGTCCATGGGCGACGGTAACCACTCACCATCAGGTGGGCCGTACACTCGTCTGCCTACTAGGGCAATAAAAAAAATTAAAAAAGGTGAACAATGTCAGACAATAAGACTAAATAAAAATTGTAAGTGTAACCGTGAACCCCAGCGAAAAAACAAGCTTTATCACCTTTTTATTTTGCTACCTATTCTAGTAGTCTCGACAGGTTATACTAGATTCGCAGAATGAGTGGGTGAGCTCACGGCGCTCTAACCTGAAAACGGCTTTACCACGTTGGGCTATTAATCAATCGCACGGCTTATTCGACCGATAGAACAGTGCAACTGAGACCTTTCGATCAGTGCTTAGTGCGAGTTTTTTAACGTTCTCGATAGCGTAAAAGTTAAGTGAAATTTGTATGGAGTCGGAACGTTCACCTACGTTTGCCTCTAGGGGCACTGTTCTCGAAGTTAAAGTCTGAAAGCAGACAGCAAATTAATTGTGCAGTTTTATTTATCCACGAACGATGGTGACCGCTCACTAATAAGAAGACTGTAGACTCTTGAGCAATAAAAAACAGTGCGTCGAATAGTACCTGTAGCAGAATGAGCGATACTGCCAATTTCGTTGACCTCTATACCAGACTTTTGCACGATCTTGGACACTCTTAGTCTTTGATGAAGAAGTTGTCCTCGGGCTAAACCAGGAAACGACGCGGTTTCCTCAAAAGCTTGTCTGATGCCCAACTGAAATTAATTACAAATCAACACTGTGTTCCTTACGTGTACCAAGAAAGAGAATTTATTTAAATGTTTTGAAATTATATTTCTTTTCGCGTGCCTGCGAAAAATATCAATGCATGACGAAGCTAGACGAGGTGATGGTACACTTAATTAATTTCATTGTTAAGACTGTTCATGATTTGAGGTAACATATATATATATAGGTACTACGTAAATATAAAATAATTTATTAATAAATAAATAAATTGTTTTAATGTTGGTAAATAATTCAATTACGTCAAAGAAGTGTAAATTCTTCTTCTTCTTTATTATTTGGCTCTGGCACAACTTGTGCATTAGCCAGCGTCAAGTAATAGTGTAAATTCTTACGTGACTGAATAAACACACTATAGGATTCCAATTCCACCCACGTGGAAACAAAATAGAAGAAGTTTCAATCGTTAAGACCGTTGTGAGCCCGTACGGATAGGTACCACCACCATCCGGCCTGTTGCTAGCGCGACATAATCGCCGGCTTAGGCTGTCAGACCGAATTCATGCGGGTGACGATATCCATGAGCTCAAGGGGTTAGGTAGCTGCTTACCAACAAAAAGGCACACGTGGCAGACAATATAACTACGCTAGTACACTTATAAAATATTTTCTTTGAACTATACAAGTTTCAAAAATAATTAGCAACAAAATCAGATCAGACAAATTACCTATTAATATCATCAACAACTTATTCATTACAAACACTTACTTCCTTCAGTACTGACTCAAGTTTTGATGTGTAATCGAACTGGAATTTCGGCATGGTAACATCAACCGTTCTCTCTTGTAAATTATTCATTTCTAGATGAAGATCGCTCAGACCGTTCATAATACGGGACAAGCCGGTCAACGAATTCGGTACTATTATAAACATGGCGAATTTGTTACCCTGAAACGAAACACACAAGCTGGTCACATTATGTAACTAACCTATACTTACTTGTACTTGCACTTGTACTTGTACTTGAACTTGAACTTGTACTTGTACTTATATATTTATACTATATATCTATATGTCATGTGTGTTCGAGCTCACAGCTCATCTGGTTTGTTAAAAGTCTGGTATTGCATCATTCACTTCCATCACTGTAATTCTTGCGTAGCTAGAATCCACACCGACAACTGTGTGCTTAGTGCGAGTTTTTTACTGTTCTCGATAGCATAAAAGCTAACTCAAATTTGTATGCAGTTGGAACAGTGTCCCTGGCGGCAAACGTAGGCAAACGTTCCAACTCCATACAAATTTGAGTTAACTTTTACTCTATCGAGAACGTTAACAAACTCGCACGAATGACCCAACAAATTGTTATGAGAATTTACTAGAAAAGCTTTTTAAAAAAAACGTTTTTTTACCTAATTCTAATAACTAAAACGTTTGAAACTGACAGTTGAAATTAATTGGGGCAAGTTTTTTTTATTTATTGCTTAGATGAGTGGACGAGCTCACAGCCCACCACTGGAGCCCATAGACATCCACAACGTAAATGCGCCACCCACCTCGAGATATAAGTTCTAAGGTCTCAGTATGGTTACAACGGCTGCCCCACCCTTCAATCCGAAACGCATTACTGCTTCACGGCAGAAATAGGCAGGGTGGTGGTACGAACCCGCGCGGACTCACAAGAGGTCCTACCACCAGTAATTACGCAAATATAATTTTGTGGGTTTCATTTTTATTACACGATGTTATTCCTTCACCGTGGAAATCAATCGTGAACATTTGTTGAGTACGTATCTCATTAGAAAAATTGGTACCCGCCTGAGATTCGAACGCCGATGCATCGCTCAACACGAATGCACCGGACGTCTTATCCGTTAAGCCACGACGGCTCTGCGTTAACGGGAGCGCTGTTACAATTGAACTGCGTGATCTATCGGCAATGGCAACCTAACTAATGTTATGCACCTTGCGATGCATTTTAGGTACATCAAGAATATATAAAAGAACGATGCTAGACCGAAAGTATCGGTTGAAGAACACGAGGGAAATCTAAATAATCCTGCAACTAAATTAGAAGAGTAGAGGGATCTTAATGATATTATTTCGATTATTAAGAATTGTAGGGTATAGAGCAAATACCACGGCTCTACCTACTTCTGCTACAAAACCATGCAGTTTGGAAGGTGGGACAGCAGTCATTGATAAATTATACTACGACCTCATGACCCAGTTGGGGTAATGGGGTTCACTTTATATGTACTTCTCAAATAAAGGCATGTTATTTAAACCTTTACCCTGTAAGGCATTCTCAGGATTTTTGCGTCGAAATTTGCTGACTCCGTAAAATAGAACTTTTCTTTGATGTTCATAAACAAAACTGGTTTCTGAAGGTCCGGTGTGACGAAGAAAGGTGCAGATTTGGTGGCATTTGTAGGAAATTGATGTCGCCAAGAGCCCTTGAAGTATAAAGCGTTGAGGATTATCGCAACAACTCCAGATACGTCATCTAAAACAATAAAACAAATATATCAGAAAATCGTAATTGTTTTTATTTTTATTTTTTATTACTTAGATGGGTGGACGAGCTCACAGCCCACCTGGTGTTAGGTGGTTACTGGAGCCCATAGACATCCACGACGTAAATGCGCCACCCACCTTGAGATATAAGTTCTAAGGTCTCAGGTATAGTTACAACGGCTGCCCCACCCTTAAAACCGAAACGCATTACTGCTTCACGGCAGAAATAGGTAGGGTGTTGGTACCCACCCGCGCGGACTCACAAGAGGTCCTACCACCAGTAAAAAAATTGTTGTTAATTTCAATTCAAAGAGCTACAACTCGTTGAATTTTCAAACTATGTAATTTTGAGATCATATAGGTACGTTACTCTTAAAAGCTCAGGGCATTTTGGGCAATAACTGCCACTTTAACGTAAAAAGGACCTATCTGTTGAAATAAGCCTTGTAGAAGCGATTTTTAGGTCGATTTTATTTTATAAATGAAACGAAGTCAATTAGCTAAATAGTTTGCTTATGAAATGTCCGTGACAACGATAATTTATAATCCTTTTTTCCTTAAGCTTATTGCCCATCTGGCGTTCAGTGATTACTGGAACTACTTAAGATATAAGTTCTAAGGTCTCAGTTTTTAAATTACAACCATTCTCACTTACCATCATCGACTAAATCGGGTATTTTCCCGTGAGTTATGTTAGAGACCCAGGCGTTGATCTGTTTAGACGCTTCGGGTGGATTGTAAAAATCAATGCCTCTGATTTCCGTTTTGTAGAACTCCTCGGCGATCGCAGCGAATCTCTGTCTCGGCAAAACATAGTCCCCTATGTAAATTCTGCTGCCGAGATTCAAGACGTATTCTGGATTTTGTTTCTGAATGAAATAAAAAGAATAAATAATTTAAACTCTAACTTTCATTTAAAGAATATCATCCCTACGAGTTTATTTATTGGGGATATAATGAATCTCAATTAAAATGAATGCAAATATAATCAATTAGTTTGGAAGCAGGGCTTATTGTAAGCTCGCAAGACTATATACCACCATCCTGCTTATATCTACGGCGAATCAGTTACGTCAGAAGACAAGACTGGTTTAACCACCTGCGAGTTCGATAATAGAAATGACAGCTTCATCAAACATACGGGCTCCGATTATCACGTGGCCGTGAGATCATTCACCCCTCAATGCAATGCAAATAGTAAACTAGACGATCTTGTTGTGTCTTTAAAGCCGTTAGTTGCCCTCAATTAAGAAAAATAGTATTATTATTCGCCAATAGATGTCGGGAAGAGTTGATTATTGAAAACACGAATAAAACAACATTTTCTGAAAATAAATCGTAGCTAGATCGATTTATCGCCCCCGAAATCTACTATACTAAATTTTACGAAAATCGTTGGGGCCGTTTCCGAGATTCAGATTATATACATATATATTAATATACAAGAATTGCTCGCTTAAAGGTATAAGATAATTAATACGAATAACTTCCAAATTTATTAATTTCGCGAATTCCGTTATTATTGCATCATCATCATCAGCCTTTATTTTTATTGCATGATATTTCATAATTGTGTACGTTTATTGACTTTGAAAATTCATAAAATGTCTGCACGATTTCAATCCCGAGATAATTGATTTGAGTATACGAGGAATTAAAATGCTCGCAAGGCCAAGAACGCTACAAAAAGTCGAAGCGTTCAGCAAAAAATCAAGTTATCAAGTTATCGAATCAAATTAGACGTCGTAAAATCAGTGAATATCAATACTATATAGGAATGGAACAACGCAGAAGATCTTATATTGTTAGATAGTGGCATTTTGTGAACAGAGAGGGGCTCCGAACAGATTCCCTTCTTTATTTCATGTGAAAGTCGTGTTTTTCGAACAACTTTTAATTCACACCACAATTGAATTCTTTTAATTTCTTCGTCTTATTAGCGGTAATTAATTAATTATATTAATGTCACAGACTATTTATTTCCCTGCCAAAATATCATGCATTCCGGATCACGCATCGTAAAAAGATGCGTTCTTAAACGCCACAAGAGCTTAGAGCTGCTTTATTCAAATATCTTAAGAAAACACAATTGTGACAATTTTAGACCACGGTTAGATCGATTTCCGACGAATTTCTGGTCGGTATGTCTTTAAACAAAAAGGGTGTAGGACTTCTTTCTCTTAATTTAAGATTGCGTTAAGTTCAATAACCAGGCGAAGAAAGAAACGCAAAAAAATATATCAAAATATCTAACGAAACAAGTACTTAACGACATTGTTAGGTAGTTAAAAAACCCAATTGCTTCCATGACGTTGAATATGAAATAGACCGCAAGTCAAACAAGAATACACATAATATATACCTACCTATATTGTAAAATGAATAATTATAGCTAAGATTTCTCATAGCCTCACAAATCATTCATTTCCTTATTTAAATTACGTATGTCGTTTCGCATTTGGTTATACAGTAAACCCAAGATTGTTTGTTCGTGCACTTACAATAGTCTGACTCAAACAAGATAAGATTTTGTGGTCAGTCAATTTCGTACTCATGACTAAATGGGAACTGTGTTATTTATTTTCTGATCGTATTATGTATGCCTCGCGAATTCGTCCACGTCGGCTATTCGATTTATGCTAAGTTATATATGTCCCGCTTTCCCGCTCATAAACTCTCTTAACAAAAATTGTCGATAAATTGCTTCGTCACTCTACATTATGTTTCGCAATCATAAAATTAATAAATACAATGAATTTTACGGTATTAGTTTTTACGATCGTAAAAATACGTATATCAGTGATTTGCTACGGATAAATGCATAAAATTATGTTAATTTGTTTGCATTACCCATAATATTGTTGAGCCACCATAAAGATCCCAGAAGTGTATTTACTAATAGTTACAATAGGCAGGCTGTTAAGAATCTTATGTATGATATTGTTTAAAAGACGAAAATAGTAGATTTTTTTTATTGCTTAGTTGGGTGGACGAGCTCACAGCCCATCTGATGTTAAGTGATTACTGGAGCCCATGGACATCTACAATGTAAATGCGCCACCCACCTTGAGATATAAGTTCTAAGATCTCAGTATAGTTACAACGGCTGCCCCACCCTTCTCAAACCGAAACGCATCACTGCTTCACGGCAGAAATAAGCAGGGCGGTGGTACCTACTCGCGCGGACTCACAAGCGGTCCTAGCACCAGTAAAAATGCTGTACCAACTACGTAATCATGACGCAAATCATGGATATTTCAAATAAATGACAACTGTCACACCCGTGACTAACACGTGAAAGTGGTAAAAGGATCGCTAGCTTAATTATGATGCCTTGATACAAAGCGTAGGGCTGCTACTATTTTTAAGTACTTAAATACTTTAGATATCGACAAGATAAAATTCTGCGATACGTGCAAGACCTTGTAAGAAAATTATAGATTTATTAGTTTATATACAGCGGCTCAGGTGGTATTATTAGCTCGAACCAAGCTTTACCGTCATAGTCTATTAGTAAACGTGAAACAGTATTGGATACTATCATTCCAATACCAATAAATAATAATAATCTGCCGTTTTATTTTGGCAGGCGAGTAAGCCATTAAGCAACATAACCCTTCATAAGCCTTTAAGTAATAACACATTGGACTGATACGCTATTCGAGTTGGCTACAGATCCAAAGTGTGTTTATATCATAGAGCTATAAAGTAACTTCAGTGGTGTGTGTTTATCCTTCTTTTACGTCAAAATGAATCAACGAATTGACATGGTTCTTTTAAAAATCATAGTATTAGTTTGTAAGATTTTTTTCCCTACCTATGCTGATAGCCTTGAGAGGCTATTTCAGCTTCGCCCTAACGTTAGTAGGTGAGCTCGCGGGGCTCAACCGGAGAGTTGCTAACACTGACCCTAGCAAGAGCAGTGCTTCGCAGAATCTACCACCGGATCGGAAACGCGACCCACTGAGAAGATCCGGCGAGAAACTCAGTGGGCTGATGCTCTGTGTATGGGTTAGTTCGCTCGTCGAGCCCTTCGTCGCAAGCGACGGGTTCGACGAGGACGGTGACCGGTGCTTGTGGTGCCTAAAAGCACCGTTAATGGATCAGGAGGATCCGTAATGACGTGCTTTGGGCGACGTCGACGGTTTACCATTCGGTCTACTGGGTCGGGTATGTAATTTCCAGCGGCTACGATGAGAGGGTTCTCATGTCGTGCCGCCTTCTCAAAATGGCGCAGCGATGCCGACTGTATACTTACTTATAAAAGAGTCGAGCTCCA